GGCGCTGGCGGTGCTCAGCCTGCTGGCGGGCGCGCTGGCGCTGGCCGAGCTGCTGGGCGCGCCGGGGCCCGCGCCCGGCCTGGCCAAGGGCTCGCACCCCGTGCACTGCGTGCTCTTCCTGGCGCTGCTCGTGGTCACTAACGTCCGGTCGCTGCAGGCGCCCCAGCTGCAGCAGGTCGGCCAGCTCGCGCTGCTCTTTAGCCTCACCTTCGCTCTGCTCTGCTGCCCCTTCGCGCTCGGCGGCCCCGCCGGGGCGCACGCCGGGGCGGCGACGGTGCCGGTGACTGCCGACCAGGGTGTTTGGCAGCTCCTTTTGGTCACCTTCGTGTCCTATGCCCTGCTTCCTGTGCGCAGCCTGCTGGCCATCGGCTTCGGGCTCCTGGTGGCCGCCTCGCACTTGCTGGTCACCGCCACCTTGGTCCCCGCCAAGCGCCCACGTCTCTGGAGGACGGTAAGTGCCGCCGCGCGCCTCCCATCCGGTCTGGGACGCACCTGCCCGGGAGGGAGTGGGGCGCTGGGAGCCAGGCGCAAACCTACCGATTGGGTAGGTGCGGAAACTGAGGCTTCGAATGGGGGTGGACGTTCAAGGTCACTCAGCGAGTTGGGAATGTACTGGCGGCTGGCACCCTGGGGTCGGGCTCTCTTCCGAGTTACAGTCCACATAGTGGCCCTGGATGTGGAGTATGGAGACGGGAGATCGTGGAGAGGGCAAAGATTGGCCCAAGGTCAGGCAGCTGGTGAGCGGTCAAGCGGGGCCAGAGCCGGGTTTCGCCGCTCTTTGGCTGCACCCATCCCCGCAGGAGGGACGGAAAGTGGGCGCGGGGAGCGGCCCCGGGTGGGCAGGGTTCCTCGCCGGCTTGCGCACAGCCCTGGTCTCCTCTCCTTTGCGCCTGGAGCGGGTGCGGGGCTCTCGAGTCCCCCTCCCAGCCCTCCAGCCCCAGGGGATGTGAGGAGGGGGAAAAGACTTTGGTCCCCTCTAGTCGCCCTGGCATCCCTTGTGGACCTGCCTTGGGTCCAGAAGGACAGAGTTTGCCAAGGTCGCACAGGGCTCTGGTCTCTACCGCCCCCGCTCCGCCGCGGCCCCGACCCCAGCTCGCAGCGCCCGAACTTTGTCACTGTCTTGTGGGCCGGGTGGGCGAGACGGTGGCGAGGACAAGGACCATGCGCTTCCCGCGGCTCCGCCCCGGAGCCTGGAGGCGGATGTCTTTGCCGCGTGGGGCTTTCCGAGCTTCTCGCGCAGCGCAGCTCAGTGCACCCGGCTTGGAGGGCGCTGAGAGAGGGTTTGGTTTCTGCCTCTGGCTGCATTTTGGCAGGAGGGTGGCGGACCCGGATCGGGGAGCCCCGGGGAAGGGAAGGCGGCAGATGAAGGAGATGGGGGCGACAAAGGGAAACTGGACAACTGGCGGGGGGGGGGGGGGGTGATGGAAGTAAGACAGCTGGGGTGTGAGGGGACCGAGGGCCCCCACCCAAGGACCGAGGGGCGTACCCCCAGATGGTCATGCCCTGGATGCACATGGTCACAGGGGCCATGGGACACACAGGCCAGAGCCATGGCTAGAGCTGCCTTTTAGGGCCCAGAAAGGCCAGCATGTGCTGGGGGCTGGGAGAGGTGGAAGAAGGTGTGTGTGGAGAGGAGCCAGAGAGGGGCGGCAGAAGAGAGGAAGAGGAGTAGGAGTGAAGGCCAGAGACAGAGATGGACTAGGCGGAGATAAAGGCGGAGAGACAGGGAAAAGGGCCAGCCGGCTGCATGCCCAGGGAGGGGGGCTCACAGGGAAGGGAAGACAGAGGGGGAGGGGAGGGGTCTCTAGCAGGCCTCCTGCTTTGCATCCTGTGAGGGCAGGTGGGCCTTGCTTGACCTTCTGGGTGGGGGGGGGGCGCTCCTGTACCTCTCCCCCTACAGCCTTCCCATCTGTTGTGTGTTTGGCCCCCACAGCTGGGTCCTCACAGCCAGGACCACCTCCCTACCAGGACCAGTAGGCAGGCCCAGATACCAGGTCAGCTCTGGATGAGAGGGGCCTGAGCTGACCTGGACAGGCTGGGGCGCAGGCAACACTGAGTTCTGGTGTGCCGCGAGTTCAGCTGGTTCAGTGAAAGGCTGTACTATTGTCTTCTTTTTAAATAATGAATGTTGTATGATAGCCTCCAGTCATTCCTTTTAAAGAATTAAAAGATTTAGGGCCGGCCCCATGGCTTAGCGGTTAGGTGCGCGTGCTCCGATGCTGGCGGCCTGGGTTCCGACCCTGAGCGCGCACCGACGTGCCGCTTCTCCGGCCATGCTGAGGCCGCGTCCCACATACATCAACTGGAAGGATATGCAGCTATGACATACAACTATCTACTGGGGCTTTGGGGGGGAAAAAAAAAGAATTAAAAGATTTAAAGAGAGAGAGGAGAGAGTCTGTACAGGTGCCTTGGGCACAGAGAGCTCGGTCCCCCCCACCCCAGGATAAGATGAGCCCCTGTATTCCAGCGGGAGGGAGCCCATCCTGGGAGAACAGATTCTTAGGGAGCTGATATCTGGGGTTCACTGCTACTAGCTGTGACTCCCTGGGCAATGCAGACCCTTCCCTTGCTGAGCCTCAGTTTCCCCGCCTGAATAAAGGGGGGAAGTGGTGTGGTGAAGATGAAAAGTTCATATGGGAAAAGCACATACTTGAAATCTCCTGCCACTTCTAAATCCTTTTGACTTCTTCAGAATGTTTGAATTCAAGTCCACCTGTCGCTATGGGTGGTGGCGATATTGACAGATAGATGGGGATGGATGCAGAGAAACATATGGTGAGGGGACTGGACGACACCTCAGGGATTCTCCCTCTCAATTAGAAAATTCTGGGAGTCTGTGACCCTGTCTTTAATGAGCTCTGCAACTTGGTACTTGACACGAGTGGGGAAGATGGCACCCACATTCACAAAGCATGTCCATTGCTGCCCACTGTTTCACCACCTCCCTGCCTTCCTGCAGTGCAGTCACCTGCTGACAGCGCCAATTCCTCGGGATCCAGTTTGGGGCAGGCAGAAGCTGGTGCAGGGTATGGGGTAGATGCCCAGGAGACGCTCAAGGACTGGATGCATGAGGCAGTCTGTGCAGGGGTGTTGCCTTTGCTGCATACGCGCCGTGTGTCATGGGCCCGCTGGAGAAAGCGTGCTCTGGAGGACTGAGACTGGGGTTCGAGTGTGGGCTCCCAGGGCCTCTGCCCCTCCGCAGGGAGGCTCTTGAGGTTTCCTGCATCAATCCCATGCGGCCCTGGTGTGTGGGGTGCTGGGGATGCGGTCCATGTGCTTTGGGGCTCTGTCGCTGGGGCCTGAGAGCACGCAGAAAGCCGGGTGCATGACTGACTGCACAGTTGACATTCAGGGGGTAATGCTCTGCCCTTCCCCAGGAGGGAGGGTGTGCCTGATGCTGTTCTCCTCTAGGGTAGAAAGGGTTTAGGGGAAATGGCCCTATTCCCACCCAGCCCAGCACTGAGGAGCAGCCCCACAAATATAGACCAGACTAGGTCTCCCCTTCCCAGTCCCTTGCTCTCGGTCCACTGGCTGTACCTAAACTAAATACAATAACTCGTTTTTATTTAACTGATGTGTCAGAACTGAAGGCATCATGTTCAAGAACACCCAGGCCTGCTCAGAGGCAGCAGCAGGGGGAAGGCCAGGCCAGGGTGGGCCGGAGAGCGTGGTGAGCGCTGCAGCCTGGGGGGCCTGGGGTATGAGATGGGGAGGCAGGAGGGGGAGACGCCAGATACAGGACCTGAGCTCTCTTGTGGTGGCACTCACCGATTTACAGAGCCTTCAGGAGCCCAGCTTGGGGAGCAGGGCACAGGCTCAGGGACTGGGGGCAGTGGTGGGGAAGTAGAGTTGGGGTGCTCATGCGAAGGGAGTGAAGGTCCTTGCTGGGAGTGCTGGTGGAGGAGGGCATCTCTGGAGAAGGGCCACCTGGGCAGCTCACCTGCTGGCTCAGGGTGCCAGCCCACAGGGTGACCCCTCCTGCCCTGCCGCTCATGTGCCTGGGGTGTGCGGCCTCCGCCAGCCCAGAGCTTCCCCGCTGTGGGGCCTCTCTCCTCACAGCCCCAGATGCCCACTTCTTGGCCAGGGGGGTCAGGATCCCTGTATTTGGACGTAGCAAGGGTCCACTGCAGTGTGTTTCCAATTTGGTTGCCTATCAACGTCAGTGAAATATGTTCCGTTCCTGAAAGTTTGAACCACAGGCTGCATAACAGAAATCACGACTGTTGCGAGGAGTGAGAGCTGCCTGGAATTCCCTGCCCTCCCCTCCTCTCCCCCCTTGTCTGAGCTCCTGCTGGGAACCCAGCGCTGGCAGGCTGAGAGCAATGTAACCGCTCTCAGAACCACCGGCCAGCTGATGTGCGCCCAGAGTGGGCCCAGGGGTGCGCTGTCCGCGGCTGCCCACCCGGGCTGCGCTCCCCGCTGCCACTCCGCCTGGGCGCACGCGGTGCCCACCACCCCACTCCTCTCCTCCTCTTCCTGATTCAAGGCGGCCCTATAGAGTCCCTCCGGATACCTGTGCTCCTCCCCCAGCGCGGCCCTCCCCCTGCTGCCCCGCCCCCAGTCGCCCTCTCCTAGTTCCGGGTGTCTCCCCCACTAACATCTCCCCCACTGGCCCCCTTCCCTGCTTGCCCTCTGCCCCATCCCCCAGAGGCCCCTCCTCCTCCAGCTGGTTCTTCTCTTGCTGGAGAAGAACCTGGACCCCCTGGGCACGCCCAGCTCCGTCTCCCCGCCGCCCTGCTCCTCAGCCGGCCCCTCTCCCCGCTGGGCTCCTCCTTCTCCAGCAGGGCTCTGCTGGACCCCTCCCCAGGCTGGGCCCCTTCTCTCCTGCTTGCACCTTCCTCCCCCTACCCTGCCCTTCTGGGCTCTGTCACCCTTCTGCTCACCTGCTTATGCGGTCCACCTGCTTGGGCTGACCCACTGCTTCCCTGGTGGACGCTGGAACAGGGAGGGAGACAGGGGTTCCTCCTGGGGCAGGCTGGGCTGTGTGAAGGTGGAGCGTGGGCTTCCCTGCTGTGGTGAGGGGTGACCCTGCATGCAATCTCTTTGTCTTTGGCTGGACACCCTTTCCCTAGGCCTCTGGTCACTGGCAGGGCTCAGCCCCCACCGCTCCTGCTCTTATAGCCTCTGGCTTCCTATCCCACTGCACATTTACAGCCCTGGCTGCTCCCTGAGCTCCAGGTGCATGTCAGGTGCCTCCTCGAGGCCTCCAGGTCCATGTCCAGTGGGCATCCCGCAGGGACCACCTGGTTCCCGGGACCGGCGCCATCAGCCTCCTGCCTGCCTGGGTGGTTCCCCCAGTTGTCTCCCCACCACCTGGTCATTTCCCTCAGCCTCCTGTCATCCTCCCTCCAAGGCAGCTGGTTCTAATTTTAAAAAGCATCCGGAATCGCCCACATCAGGGCATCAGGACTTAGGATGAGGGGAAATGGGGCCTGGAAGGTCAGGGAG